GGAACTATCTGACTTACCTATGCAAGGTAGGCAATATACATGGAGTAGCTCCAGTGTGAGGGGTAGTTGGAGTAGAATCGATAGAGTGTTACTCTCAACAGAATGGCTAGAGAAGTATAATTTTAAGCTATGGGGCCTTCCAAGGGGGGTCTCTGATCATTGCCCTCTCCTTCTAATGGAGGATGGCAGAGATTGGGGTCCAAAACCATTTTGATTCATCAATGCGTGGATTCTGCACCCCCAATTTATCTCAGTCATAAAGGATGCCTGGTTTGGAACAGTAATCACAGGTTGGGCTGGATATGTCATTCTAGAGAAGCTTAGAACTCTTAGATGAACTTTAAAGAAATGGAACATTGAGGAATTCGGGAATGTCTCACACTCTGTCAAGCTGAAGCTGAAATGCACAATCTTAATTTGCTGGCTGAATCTAGGGAGTTGACTGAAGCTGAAGTTGGAAGAAGTTGTGAACTCAGGAAGCTAGTATGGTCTCTGTATAAAAAACAAGAGTAGATATGGCTTCAGAAGTCCAGATTGGAATGGAGTGTGAAGGGGACAAAAATACGAGATTCTTCCACATCGTGGCATCTAGTAAGCAAAATAGAAATCTGTTAAATTCGATATCGGTGGGGGGCGCGATGGTTGAGCATCCACAAGCGGTGAAGCAGGGGGTCTTTGCACACTTTCAAAAAGTATTCTCCGAGCAGTGGAGGATTAGGCCAAAGATTCTTGGTCAGTTTCAATCTATTGGTACTGATTGCATAGCTGAGAGTCTTGAAGCTCGGTTTACTGAAGATGAGATATGGGCTGCTTTTAAGAGTTGCGATGGAAACAAAGCGTTGGGCCCTGATGGGTTCAACTTGATGTGTTTTCAGAAGTGATGGAAGATCTTCAAGGCTGATGTTATTCAGTTTTTCAATGAATTTCATGAGAATGGGAAATTGGTACGTGGTGTAAATAGCTCACCACTTTCATTCCTAAGATTGATGGTCCAGCCACTATTTCGGATTATAGGCCAATAAGTTTCATTGGGTCACTCTACAAAATCCTAGCTAAAGTGCTCACTAATAGACTGAGGAAAGTGATGCCTCGAGTGATTGGGGAGGCACAATCTGCTTTACTTGGGGGGAGGAACATCTTGGATGGGGTTTTGATAGCCAACGAAGTGGTTGACTGGTGGAAGAGAAGTGGACAGATGGGAATGCTATTAAAGTTAGACTTTGAGAAGGCTTATGACTCTGTCAATTGGGATTGTCTGTTGGCTATGATGAGTAGGTTTGGTTTTGGAATAAAATGGAGAAAATGGATACAAGAGTGTTTATGTTCTTCCAATTTCAGTTCTTGTTAATGGATCTCCAACGTTTGAATTTACTCCCGAAAAAGGACTCCGCCAGGGAGATCCTCTGTCACCTTTCCTTTTTAACCTTGTAGTCGAGGGCTTGAATATGCTATTACAAAGGGCATGTTCACCAGGGCTCATAACAGGAGCAGTTTTAGGTTAGAATGGGACAACTATAACTGTATCACACCTACAGTTCGCAGACGACACAATAATTTTTTCTAAGGCTGATGTGGTGGAGGTTCTAGTAATCAAGAGAATTCTAAGATGCTTCCAGTTAGTTTTAGGGCTGAAAATAAACTTCCACAGGAGCTTTGTTTGTGGAGTTGGGGTACCTGAGCAGATGGTGATGGAGTGCGCTGCTAGGCTTCACTGTAAAAATCAAAGCATTCTATTTTCTTATCTTGGCTTGCCCCTTGGTGCTAACCCCAGACTCAAGAAAACTTGGAAACCAGTTATAGACAAAGTGGGAGCCAAGTTAGCATCTTGGAAAAGGAAACTACTATCCTTTGGGGGTCGGCTGACTCTTATAAAGTCTGTGTTGTCTAGCCTCCCTGTGTATTACTTGTCCATATTCAAGATGCCTAAATCTGTGATTACGACCATTGATCGCCTGTGGGCAGCTTTTCTCTGGGGTGGGACTGAATTAAGGAAAAAGATCCATATGGTAACATGGGAGGAGATCACTATCAGCAAAGAACAAGGTGGTTTGGGGATTAGAAAGTTAAAGGATGTAAATGATTGCCTACTAGCCAAATGGTGGTGGAGATTTGGGATTGAAGATACCTCCTTGTGGAAGAAAGTTCTGTGCAATAGGTATCAGTTTAGTTGAGGAAGATGGTCGCCATTTTCATGTTCTGCAGTTTCCTGTTCTAAACTATGGGGTGGGATACTAAGTGTTGGCCAATCCAACCCCCACTTGCTGAGCATTTTTCTCTGTGGAAATGGGAGCAGGATTCACTTTTGGAGTGGTCATTGGTTTGGGCAGCAGTGTCTTCAGTTGGAGTTTCTGAGGCTGTATAGCTTGTCAACAGAAAATGAGATAACCTTGAGTGTGTTGATTGAAAGGAGAAGACTACCAGAGGACTGGAATCTGAATTTTTGGAGATCATAATTTGCATGGGAGAGGCTGAGGAATTAGCTAGGTTGGTATCACTCATGAGCCAGGTTGAGTTGGGGGCAGCAGGGAGTGAGGACTGTTTGAAATGGCTGGCATGTTCTTCACAACAGTTCAGTGTAGCCTCCCTCTTGAGTAGGTGATAAAACCTGAAGCGAAGAATCTTGTGGGTAAATCACGTGCTTAAAAAATGTGAACAATGAACTCCCAGCAGTGGAGTGATACCACAATATGAGTATCACCCACACAAGTCATAGTGCAAAAAGCTTGATCGTTGTTTTAATGGGAGAGAGTCAGTATGGGAAAAATCATTCATTATTTTATTCATCCCATATCCCATATATCGTATCGGATATATAGGCTAAGTATATCATCTATCCATATCAATTGATATGATAGATATAGATATCATGGGTAGGTTATCCAAATAGGTTTTGAATTCATATTCAAACTTACATGGATAAGGTTCAAAAGGGTCATGGGTCATGCCATATGGGCGCCCAATTTCTAACAAATCAGCGATTAACAATCATTTTTTTTTTTTTGCCACACACAAGTATTTTCGACTAAATCTATCTATTAAAAAAGAGAAGAAGAAAAAGAAAAATATCAAAGAAAATCTAAAAATTAAACTACAGTAAAATATGAAATTAAATATTATTTTCTTGCATTTTTAAGAGTGAAATTACTAAATAAGTTCACATATAATTTGTAAGGACCTTTAATTTGGATTGTGAAATTAAATTAATTTGTTTGAAATTTTATTTTTAAGGAGTCAATTACTTAAAAGTCCTATTTATAAATGTTATGGTAGCTTAGGTCCTATTTAAATTTTCAACAATGCTAAGTAGCTCAAAATATTGTGGCTCAAATGGCTCAAATTACTCAAAACGACGTCGCTTTGACAGATTTTGAGTGTAAAACGACGTCGTTTTGACAAATTTGAGCCATTTGAGCCACAAAATTTTAAGATACCAAACATTTTCCGTTTTCCAAATAGTATGAGAATGCAATATGAAGTTCTTGGTCGAGCCAAAGAGTCAAGCTTTGCCTTCAATAATTATTTTTGCTACAGAAGTTGTTAAAAGTTGCCACAAAAGAATAATACTACTATTATAATTTCCTCACTATCCATATCAGGTCATCGTCAAGGCTTGTCCAAGTAATTGCTAAAGTAAACACTACATGTACAGTCTTTTTATTTCTTGAAGAATAGCAACAAGAACAAGAGATTGATTAAGAATAGGAAAATTGTAGTTAACACTAGATGTACAATTTTTTATTTGTTGAACAATAGCAACAAGAACAGGAGATGGATTAAGAATAGGAAAATGGAAGATTTTTTTAGCAGATCACACGTTAAAAGCCTTGTGTTTTTGCTTGTGAGTGTCCCCTGGTGTGCCCAAGATCCGCAACAGTTATTACTTGTTTGAAAAAAAAAAAATTAAAATTAAAAATTCATGTCCTGATAGAATGCCATTCAAACAAACCAGGTACTCAAACCAGCTCGCACATCTACTGCCAAGGTAATTTAACAAACCAAGGGAGATATAACCTTTTTGATAATATTGATTACATAGCTGAATTAACTAAGGTTGTATTTGGATCTGCGGATCTCAAATCAATGGATTTGCCATTGATCATTTGAAGGTTTATGCATCCAATTCAGATTGAAACATTAGATAGCAGATTTCAACAATGATTTTAAAGCTTTATATTTATGAATTCAAAATGACAACATGAAACTAGTTATTTCAAATTCACCCATAGAAGGATTCTAGTACAACAAGGATCCTTCGGCCCTCCCCAATAGCTATTTCAATACACTAGTAACTAGCAACCAAGCTTCCTATATTGTTTGTTTTATCTTAAACTCAAATCCTTTCATTTCAAATTCATCCATCCAAATGCAAGTGGTATTGGTCTATCTAATGACAACATACCATCCACAGGAAATACATCTAATATTTTTCGATAACAACACATGCTTAAACTAGTAACAGGAATATGCCTCCATTTTAATAGGTAGATTCAAGGAAAGAAGACACATGCCCTGCATAATTGAGCTCACTTACACAAATTATCTTATTTTATTGCAAACCCAACCTTTAAAGAAATGGCATGGGGGATTTGTTCCTGTGCTCTTGATTTGATTGACAAAGTAAAATGTTGCAAAAGAACTCAACCAAGAATCAGTTTAGTTAAATAAGAAGTTGAGAACAAATTAGACAACCAATAGTATGACTCCCAGCAAAGAAACAGACCAAAGTCCAATAACAATCAAGAACACATAAGACAAACCTTAGTTGGAACAGAGAGTGAAGACTAAAATGCACATCCTATGCAGTTAAGATTGCTCATAGAAAACTCATCAGTAAGGGAAAAATCATGTAATCTTGACAGCAACCAGGAAAAAATGAAGCTTGTGACCTCATTAACGGTTGTGTGGTTTTGGCACCTAACATCCTATTCAAAAAGTGGTGAATTGGTCAATTTGAGAGACCAGGATTCAGATGGCACATATATGATATGATCATCCGCATATACCCAAACCTTGTTGTATGAAGAAAATTAAGGAATAGATAACGTTGGTGTTTTTAAACATGGACAACATAAACACAGTAACAGTAAAATTTACTTTGTATTTCTCATTTCATAATTCCACCAAACATTTCTATATAGAAGTTGGACAAATACTAAACTTCTTCCTACATAAAACCTGTATGTACTTTACTTCTTTCAATCGACAAAGGCTATAGCTATTTCCATGTAACAAGTTCTTGGTACCTAAAAGAAAGATTATAGCTCTCTCTTCCTGAAACAAAGATTAGAGCGGGATATTAGTGAACGAATTAAGAAATTTTTTTAAGGAAATTTATAGCAAAGTGATTAAAAAAATACAAAGTGGACATACTTATTCTTTTCAACAGAAAAATATACGTAGTTATTGTTCCCATTGCACCCATTAGAATATTGCCTTTCGCACGAAACAAACTCGTGTCCTGCAGCTGTGACACAGAGTTTGATCTCTTGTATTACCCAATACTTTCCATCATTAACCTCAAAGCAATCCACAACAGTATTGTAAGTCGTTGTTTCTGCTATTCCAAGCAATATATCCCTCACAATGTATGTCCTTTGCCTTGGTTGAATTCCTGTTGAAATTTTTTCATTACGTTAGTAATGAATTTGCAGCAAGTAAAAGTACTCCTTACATTCAAACAAAAGAAAAAGAAAAAAAGAAAAAGAAAAAGAGTACAGTTAGCAATTAGATATACCAAAAGATCGAAGAGCGCCAAGCATATTGATTTTGTTTTTAAGGTTCATGGCGATGGAAAAATAAGTCTTAGGGTCCAGTTTTGAACAAGTGCCATGTTTTGTCCATTGTTGCTTCCAAAATGCAAAATCAGCTTGAAACTCGTTTTTGTAACCGTTAGCTTCGCTGTCTAGGAGATTTGGCCAATGGGTTGAAAGTGAACCTCGAATACCCTCCACCTACAAAAAGACATTATACCATCCAACAAACAATAAACATAAAAGTTCAAATTTGAAGCTAAAAAACAAAATCCAAAAGAAATTTGACATGTGGACTTACATCTTTTCTCTTTAGTTCATGGATTGGTGGGCAATAAGTAGCTTGCGTACCATTCTGCCAGTAAGGCCAAAAACCATGTAGTGTGAAGTCTTGAGGGATGTGATCACGACACTGTCTTGGCACACAAAAACCATTTGGCCAAGTCAATGACAATTCAAAGAAACCAAGTTCTTCCCCATACACAGGAATGAAAACAAACAAGAAGAGAAGAGCCAATTGCAACTTTACAACTCCCATGGTTTAACAAACAACTCAGACAAAAACAACAAATACAAAGCAACTGTATATATAATACTTGGTTTGGTATTAGTGTCAGTTTCATTCTCTCTCTTCCTTTCTCATGCCATTGGCGCATCCATATCCTAAACCAAAAATGTCCTCTGCTGCTACTAAGTGCACCTATGAGCCATTTTTGTGTGTATTACTGAAATTTTCACTTTATGAGGAAGCTTCCTTGGCCTGTGACTGTGGCAGGGCAGGAAAAACTTAGTTCAGGATTATGAATATTTGCATTACACAATTTTCATAATGGTTTTCTAAAAGCATGAGCTACCCACTTTGGGAAAATTATGAAACGAGGACCCAAGGACACGTGATAGTCTATTTCTCCTGCAAAAAAAAAAAAAAAAAAAAAAAAAAAACACGGTACAATCTTTTTTTTGTTTTTGTTTTATGGGGTACAATCTTTTTTCATCTACTTGTCTATATATCTTTATCAATCTTAAATGTGGATCATAACACCTTGGATTCAAAAAGTATATGAGATAAGGTGAAAAGAAAATGACATGTAACAAGATGTAAGAACATCAATTTTTTGCAGAACTTTGATACAACATTTTACACTTCAAAAAATGTGACAATCATATTTTTGTAATTATAATAATATTGATAAGTTCTTTATTTTAAAGTAATACAGACGATATAACCACATTATTATATATATATATATAATTTTGAAGCAATTATACAAAAAAAATTCAAAATTTGAGCATTTTAACAAAATAAATTTCAAGTTTTTAATTTTGTCAATTTAAATCATAATTTTTTTTTATTTCTTTTCAATTTAAACATTTGTCTATTTTTGTTAAGTAAAATCGATAGGAAAGAATATTTTAATTATTAAACTCGATGTAGGTATTCATAAAATGCCTAAAATATACTTTTCATTGAGTTTAATAACTAAAATACCTATTTTTTCATCAATTTTACTTAATGAAAATAAAAAAATAGTTTAAATTGAAAACAAATAAAAATTTAAGATTTAAATTGACAAAATTAAAAATTTAAGATTTATTTTGTCACTCGGCTCAAACTCTGGAGTTTTCTTTTTTTATTTTATTTTTTATTTTTTTAAAATTTTTCCTATAATTTTTTAGTACTTCAATGAGTGATTCACGAAACAAAATATCATAAAAAATTTCATGATGTTTTAAAAAATAATTTAGTGTAGTAGGTAATAAAATAAGAAAAGAGAATTACCTTAATATAAGTATGTTTTAATTTTAAAATCTTAATTTGTAACTTGGTGTATATGATTACATAACATACAATAAACACTACAAATTAATTCAAGAATGGAGAATGTTCATAAAATTTGTCATATTTATTTTATGAAACATAATCACTGCATTTGGTTTGAATTTTCTGGACTCAATTTTCTGAAAATTAAGTTTTTTGTTTTTGTTGTTGTTGTTTTTGTTTTTTTAAAAAATTTTTTAGTGAATATTTTTAAAATTTTAAACATTTTTTAAAAATTTTTTAGGTATACCTTACTTAGATGTATCTAAAAATTTAAATATTTGTAAATTTTTTTAAAAAAAAAATCAATAAATACACAAAAATACAAAAAATATATTGAATTCTCGTTTTTTTTTTTTTTTTTTTTTTAAATATGCTGAATTTTCATATTATTTTTGGTATTTTGTGATTTTTTAAAAGATTTTTTTCACAAATATTATACTTTTTAATTGTATTTATGTTAAGTGTATCTAAAAATTTAAAAAAATTGTTTAAAATATTAAAACAATTAAATAAAATAAAATAAAAATATGAAAAATAAATCCTAAACACTAAATCAAACAAACTGAATATCACTCATTTACATAAGTGAAATTATTGAAGAGTAAGAGGTTGTTGAAATTGAAATGGTTCCCAAATGCCGTGTAAGAATTCACTTTGACATTTTAGTTTAGTTTGGGGAGTTAGATTGGATTTTTAACTTTTTAGTTATTTTAGATTCGGTTAAAAAATTTGTTTGGGTTAATTTTTTTTGACTTTTGTAAGAGAAATAATAAAATAATTATGATTTAAATGTAACATTTTATTTTATTAAATTTTTAATCTATTTTATTTTTTAATAATTAATTTAGCCAAAAAATCAACCCAACTTTCATGCCAAATGACACCTCTGTTTTTCATCTTACTCGTTTCGAGAATGGGGGTCTCTTTTTTTATTCCACACTCGGATCAATTTTTTCCTCTTCTCTCTCTCTCTTTTTCTTTTCTTCTTTTATCTTTCTGTTTATTTTTATTTTTATATAATTTTTTAAAAGGAGAAAGTTTTTATAGGCGAAACCTATCATGGGTTCAATCAGCTTTCCCCTTGATTGAATTGATTTTAAACTTAAATTAGGCCATCGTGTGAGGGGTCGGCATGGCCTGGTGGCTCACTCGTTAAGCCGGTCCAGTTGGATTGCTGTTATTTTTAAAAGGAAAATATTACATTAGTGGATATTTTAAAAAGTAATTACAAATTAGTAATTTGTTTTTATAAATATTAATAATTAAATTTGTAAATATTTTTATGACTTTGTATTTTTTTTGGGATTTTTAGTTTAAGATTTTCATATTAAAATTTTACAAGATAAAAAAAAACAAATATTATAGTAGTAGCTAAGGTTTCTAGAAAGAATAATTCTACTTACACCACCAATCTAACTTCTTACACCCTCAAATTTTATTTATTTTTTATTTTATATATTTATAATTTATACAATTCTTTTATTACCTGATCTCCAACCTTACTCTTTCTCCTTTTCTTTACACCCAAAACCTAAAAAACCCCAACCCTAGTAATTTCTTTCTCTGTCTTATCTCACAGACAAGCCTCTTCGACTTCGCATCCGAATCCAATGACCCGGTAATTTCTTCTATCTCTCTCTCTCTCTCTCTATATATATATATATATAAGTATTTGTATATCGTTTTGATTCTGATGATGGGGATTTTGTGATCTTTATATACAACTCTGTTTCAGTCTCTTTTGTTTGAAGCGTGTGGAAGGACTGTGAATCCAGTGAACGAAGCTGTCAGACTGTTATGGATGGAGAACTGGCATGTGTGCCAGGCAGCGGTGAGAAGGTGCTCCGAAGCAGAGCATTGCGGCTGATTTTCCACAGATAAGAGAGAATTAAAGAGAGAGAGAGAGAGAGAGAGAGAGAGAGAGAGAGAGAGAGAGAGAGAGAGAAGACTTGCAGATCGTTTTCATAACCCATTGGTAATTGTTGCTAGTTTGCAATAGGTGCAGTAAGAAAGAGAAGCTCTAGATGTATATATATGCAGTGAGAAAAAGAGAAGGAAAAACAGGAAAGGTGGTGGAGTAGTGGCGGAGTGGCAACGCTGGTAGTGGGTTGGTGAAGGTGCTGGGGAGAACTAGGGTTAGGGTTTTTTGGAGGTTTTGGGTGTAAAGAGAAGGAGAAGCAGAAATGTTAGAGATGAGGATAATAAATGAATTGTATAAATTAAAAAATATAAAATAAAAAAAAATTTGAGGGTGTAAGGAGTTAGATTGGTGGTGTAAATAGAATCACTCTTCTAGAAAATGTGGGGAGCAATTTTCAGACAAAAATACCCTTATTCAATTTTAGTGCTAAACGATACACATTGTTTCAGTATTCAACGCCTTTCACTTTTGAAAAATTTTAAAACTTTAAAATTCTATAACTTTTGATTTAGATATCCATTTTTAATAAAATTTATATTTTTAAAATGTTCTCGTTGAGAACTATCAAATAAAATTAATGATGAATATAAAATTCTAAAAAAAAAAATTGACAAAATTTTACTGAGTTGACTATCTACCATCAATGAATTTTTTTGACTTTTAGTGAGAGAAATTTCATTAAAGGATGGAGAGAGAGGAAGAAAGTGACATTGAGGGGTTATGAAGAGAGCAAAGAAAGAAAGAAAGATATGGGGCACTCAAACTCAAAATAAAACCAAACCCCTTGGCCCCAGGTAAATTTTTTTGAAATTTCATAAATTTCTCTGAGTGAAAATTCAAAAATTTTTCTAAGCAATTCTAAAAATTCTCTCACAAAATTGAAAATTGAAAATTGAAAATTTTCTCTGAGCAATTATGAAATTTCTCTAGTGCTGTGTTTGTTGGGAGATTTGGAAAGGGAATCGGAAAGGGAAAAAGAAAAGCTAGGTTAAATGTAAACAAAATATATAAAATGTATTTACATTTCACCTAGTATCACACCTTTTCCCTTTCCCTTTCCAAATCTCTTCCCAAATCCCCTAACTAAACACAACATAAGCGAACAGACTACGTCAATTCCTCTTTGTTCAAAGCCTCGTTGAAGAGCATATCTTTGATAGTGTAGTAGAAATTCAAAGATGCCAATCGGGGAAGATCTTCAGTAAATGAAGGATCATTAGATTGAGATTTTCCTCTGATGAGATTGAACAGATTGATGTAATATTTTGATCCATTTGAAGAAAGATGTATTAGAGATTTGCGGTGTTTGGGATCACTGAATTGAGAATGTTTTCAAACATAGATCCATTGGCTTCATGATTCTCGAAAGATCAATTGGTCCAAGTGATGTAGAAAAGGTAAGTGACATCATTAAGGATTAAGAGCTTGGTTTGGGTGTCATCGGAGTTGGAGATATTGCACTAGATGTATTTAATGGGGGTGGTCGGTGTTCCATGGCGGACGAGGGCAGTGAGAGATGCCGTAGACTTTCCAAGGGCCACTGGGGGTGTTTGAGAGAGGAAGAATCTCGGCGAAGCTGCTACCAATGATGCTTGTGACACCGGTCATTAGGGTTATGCACTGGTACTTCAGAGGTGCGTCGTTGTCTTCAAATTTCTTTAAGGGAGAGAAAAAAAAAAGAGAAAGTATATCTGAAAGAGAAGAAGGGAAAAACCAAATACGTGTCATTAAAAGGTAAAGTTGGTATTTTTTTGAGAAGAGAGTTGGCCTAAAATAGAAGTAATTCTATTTTCAC